GTGAAGATTTTGATCTCGCCTTGAATGAGACATACAGAAGATCATGAACAAGCAGTTTAATAAAATGTTTATCGACCTGTTCATTTTAATAACATATATTTTTTTGTTATTGGTATTGTCTTGCGTTTCTAGCTTAGGCAAGGTAAGGTCAATATATTATTGATTCTTATAGAAGCCCTAATTTGGTTTAAAGACCTGATGTTGAATTATTTTGAAGAAAATTAAACTGGAACTAAAACTCAATTAAAGTAACATATTAGATGTCTACATTTATAACATTTGAAGGTAATAGTAATAATAATAAATAAATAAATAAAACTAAATTGATCGTGTAACCTACCTATTACTGTGACTTCTCCGCTTCTCCTTGCGCTATGTCCCTGCTTGTTTCGAGCCCAACAAGTATATACGCCAGAGTCAGCTTTCTTTTCCACCGGACTGATAACGAGCGTACCGTCTTCTAAAACTTTTTGTCGCAAATCGTCTGGAAGTTCTCGTCCGCCTCTCTCCCAGTGAATTTCTTCTATTGGATATCCAGCAACGGGACACTTCAGCTGAAGTGTTTCGCCAGCCACTGCCGTCACCTTCGGTATCAATCTAATGTAAGGCATCCCTGGAATATAAAAGGATTTTCAAAGAGGGAGTCTATTTTCTGGAAAGCCGGAGTGTGAATTTTGCTTAAGGATGTTTGGGAGGTACAATCGGAGACAAGAGTACATAAAATTAGAAATTCGTGATTAATTAGGTTTCAGCAGCATATCATGAAGTAAATAAAAAAAAGTATACGTTTTGAGAAAAAATTTGGAATTTGACCAAAAACTTTGAATAAAATAAGAAATAACGAATAATATGGAAAGTTTTTAACTTACTTTTGGCAGTGAATATGCCTTGATTTCAACTNCTGATAGGCTTCCTAGGTTCGCTTGCACCACGCGATGGAATTATGCCGTGTGGTTTTCAATGAATATACATATTTGTACCATTTTGATTTTAACATTAAGCTTAGGGATTATATATTGCACAAGTATAAAGCAAAAATTAAAAAAAAAGGACTCCCAAGCACTACTATCTGGTAAAGTTTTTAAAACAAGTTAATAGAAATGAATTTCGGAAGTAATTTTCAATATTTTTTGAATTTATGGATGAAAAATTAAATTAGAGAAGGGTGAAATAGCACGTTATTTATTTTGAAAACTAATAAAAATGAAATGCGTTTAATAGAACGTTAATTTTTGTCTAATCCCTCTCACGGTGGGATAATTGTTCAGACATAGTTTTTTTCAAAATGTAGATACAGAAAAAAAATTATTCCTTATTAATTGGCACCTTCTCCTGGATCTTCTGCGTATAACACATATTGACTTAAACTCATTAGGTTTAGGCCTGCCGCAAAGTGAGGCATGGGATATTTTTCAAAATATGGAAATTCAAATCTCTCTCAATGTTGTCTTGATTTGATACTTTTAGTCTTGCGTGAAGATTTTGATCTCGCCTTGAATGAGATATACAGAAGATCATGAACAAGCAGTTTAATAAAATGTTTATCGACCTGTTCATTTTAATAACATATATTTTTTTGTTATTGGTATTGTCTTGCGTTTCTAGCTTAGGCAAGGTAAGGTCAATATATTATTGATTCTTATAGAAGCCCTAATTTGGTTTAAAGACCTGATGTTGAATTATTTTGAAGAAAATTAAACTGGAACTAAAACTCAATTAAAGTAACATATTAGATGTCTACATTTATAACATTTGAAGGTAATAGTAATAATAATAAATAAATAAATAAAACTAAATTGATCGTGTAACCTACCTATTACTGTGACTTCTCCGCTTCTCCTTGCGCTATGTCCCTGCTTGTTTCGAGCCCAACAAGTATATACGCCAGAGTCAGCTTTCTTTTCCACCGGACTGATAACGAGCGTACCGTCTTCTAAAACTTTTTGTCGCAAATCGTCTGGAAGTTCTCGTCCGCCTCTCTCCCAGTGAATTTCTNAGAGAGACAGATGTCGAACGCTGCCGAACGCGGAGGCCGATTGTGCCTCTTTGTCGCTCGTTCCGCGCTCTCACTTGCACTTCAAGCCTTAAATGGAACGCCTCAGAGCGAGGTAACGCCGCATGAGTCATGTTTTTTCGTGTTTCATTGAATTATAAGACGTTGTCACGTCAAAAACAAAATAAAAAATGAATTTTTGAGGTTATTCTAAAATGAAAGATTTCGACAACTTTACATAAAGGAGAGTTTTTTCAACTCCCCCCCCCTCCCCCCTTTTTTTTCTTAACCTTAAATTTTTTTTGTATATACATCTTACCCGCTTCGGTGGGAAGCTTTTCCTACCAACCCGCGTTTATTTGGGAGAGTACCTCCTTATTTTAAAAATATATCCATTCTCATTGCTTATTTCATTTTGAAGTTTAATTCGCGAGACTTATAAATTAAAAACTGTCCACATTTTGTTTTAATTTATTTCTTAATTGCAAATGATATTTTTGCAGTTAAAATTAGTATGCGAGAAAGATATTAATATTAATAACCTTAAGACCGTTAAATCGTTTAAATGACTTTCAAGCAGATTTCCTCTAGAAAAAGAAAAATTAGTTTCAACGCTTTTCTGAATTATTCGTTTCCTTTTTCGTTAGAGTTAATGAGAAACCATAATTGAGTGGAATTAATATCCCGAGAAAAAATAATTTAATTGCTTGAACGGTTCTAATTTATAATTTAGGAATTCGGAAACCTGGATCGTCAGTTCATTTGAACGTAAAGTTTGTTGATACGAAAAACTAAAAATCAAGCTGTAAATAAAGATAAATTTAATCTGTTCGGTTAACGAATCTCAATAAAATGACGTGTAAAATTACAATTTTTTAAAATTTCAATAGCTTTTTAGCGGTTTAGTGAATCGATTTGTAATTTTTGCAGGAGTTTTAGAATTGAATGAGGAACGTTCTTCCAAATTTTTATTTGTCTCGTAGCATTTTGACATACCTCCCAAACATCCTTAACAGCACCATAGAAATTAAATTCTGCTGCCGCTTCCTTCAATTGTAGTTTATGTATTATGTTAAAAAATTTCGATAAAAAACAATGAGGTCGAGGATAACGACGACGGTAATTGTTGTTAGAAAAAGCAATGCTAATTACAGTTTTCAAAAATAAAAAAGGAATCATCCTAAGAATGTGAAACAATTACAATTAGTGTTTTTGCATGATTCATCCAGTGGATCGCAATTAAGTAGGAATAAAAACAGGAACCCTACATAGCACTTAGATGGAATCGGTATATTACATCTCTCTAAAGTTTAAAAGAATGTTAAACAATGGAAGGTCTAATATTGCCAGATAGAGCACGTTACAACCCCATCGTCCTTATTTTCGAACAAGATTATCTTTTAATTTCCAACCTTCAGTAAATAAATGACTTGTCGAGCAATTTACCAATAAGTAAGAAAATGTTCACATTTTATCTAAACAATTTTATCAGAAACACTTTGCAAAATTTGATGTTAAAACAGTCTCAAATGATTAATCAAGATGGTGATAGGCAAGTATTAACTTAGGATTTAGTATCAACAATGAATTTTTAGCGTTTTCCAGAAGAAGCTTTAGCTTGAGAATTTCAAATGTGTTAAACAGTTTAGTGCTGTTGATGTAATCACACTAAGATTTGCACTTTCGCATATGGTATATAATTTCACAGTGGCGGCCACTAGTTAAAACTAGTGGGGGTGCTCCTCCAAAAAATTTGTTTTTTTATTTGTTTTAAAATTAAGTAATAAGAAACAAACACGTACAAAAATAAAATTTATTGAGAAATTTAATAAAATTCAAAATTAACAAAATCATATTTGGGGATGTAAAGCCATACTTAACTTTCCTTGTAAATAAAAGAACTGAAAAAAAGTGAAATAAATAAAACAGCTACGATCAAGATAATAATCTGATAGGCTTCCTAGGTTCGCTTGCACCACGCGATGGAATTATGCCGTGTGGTTTTCAATGAATATACATATTTGTACCATTTTGATTCTGACATTACGCTTAGGGATTATATATTGCTCAAGTATAAAGAAAGAATAAAAAAAGGACTCCCAGGCACTACTATCTGGTAAAGTTTTTAATACAAGTTAATAGAAATGAATTTCGGAAGTAGTTTCAATATTTTTTAGAGAATTAAATTAGAGAAGGGTGAAATAGCACGTTATTTATTTTGAAAACTAATAAAAATGAAATGCGTTTAATAGAACGTTAATTTTTGTCTAATCCCTCTCACGGTGGGATAATTGTTCAGACATAGTTTTTTTCAAAATGTAGATACAGAAAAAAAATTATTCCTTATTAATTGGCACCTTCTCCTGGATCTTCTGCGTATAACACATATTGACTTAAACTCATTAGGTTTAGGCCTGCCGCAAAGTGAGGCATGGGATATTTTTCAAAATATGGAAATTCAAATCTCTCTCAATGTTGTCTTGATTTGATACTTTTAGTCTTGCGTGAAGATTTTGATCTCGCCTTGAATGAGATATACAGAAGATCATGAACAAGCAGTTTAATAAAATGTTTATCGACCTGTTCATTTTAATAACATATATTTTTTTGTTATTGGTATTGTCTTGCGTTTCTAGCTTAGGCAAGGTAAGGTCAATATATTATTGATTCTTATAGAAGCCCTAATTTGGTTTAAAGACCTGATGTTGAATTATTTTGAAGAAAATTAAACTGGAACTAAAACTCAATTAAAGTAACATATTAGATGTCTACATTTATAACATTTGAAGGTAATAGTAATAATAATAAATAAATAAATAAAACTAAATTGATCGTGTAACCTACCTATTACTGTGACTTCTCCGCTTCTCCTTGCGCTNACGATTTTCCTGCTTTTCCATTTTTACGAAAACCACAGAGGCGTCTTGTTCAGCGTGCTGTCAAACCTACACTAGCAAGGAGATCGGGCTGAAACTATAGCTACAAGCTATCCAAGGATGGTACTATAGAATGTCACCTCAAGGTAGGCCTAGTGGCGTCATCTCTTGGTTAGGCCGGAAACTTATCAATCCACCCTCGTATTTGGTCCATCGCTCTGGAAGTTGCAGCATATGAACTTATGTCGAGGTCTTCGAAATATCCATCCACAGCAGCAAACACTTCATCGTTACATGAAAACCCCTATTCACCGAGCCATTTTTTAAGATTGGGGAACAGGTACCTAATAGTCGGAGGGGGCTAAATCTGGTGAATATAGTGGATGAGAAAGCAATCCAAATCGTATCTAGATCGTGGGTTTTTGACATTGCAACCACCGAGATGCGGGCCGGCGCATTGTTGTTAATGAAAAAGCACTTTCTTTTTCGAAAAATTTAAAGCCACTTTTATAGTTTTCCCTTTTTTGAGATAGTCAAAGAAAATTGTTCTGCGCGCGTCCCAGAAAACGATAGTCATGACTTTGTTGAAGGACAATAAGTCACTTTTGATTTTCTTAGAGCTTGCTGAACCTTTTCAATCCACTGCCTAACCTACACTGTTCCTCGGACTCTGATATATGTAATAGTAGATGGACCCAGGTCTGTAGGTACAAATCTACGAAAAAATTTCTCTTGATTGCGACT